AAACAAATCGAGAATAATGAAAGGAAAAAACTGACGCGCATGCGGGTCATGGTGTCCCCATTGTACTAAGGCAATTTCCACTGTGATGGTGGCGACGGAGTCAGTTGTAGCAGTGCGCTACTCTCATTATTTACCCCTCCTTTCGAATCGACTACCATAAGACACACTGATGCAAGTGACTCAAACATTCAGATTGGAATACGCTTTCGCATGACATTAACACATTGACGACATTGAGACGCGGTAACGCGTCTCACTTTGCGCACCTCGTTGGACATTGAGACGCGGCTGCGCGTCTCACCCTTGACGTCCCTTTTTTTTAGCATGCGCGGCTTCTTCCCAAGTTGTTTACTTATTCTGTAGATCATACCTTAATCTAGCTATGAACGCCGTGGTCCATGAAATGGTTAGATATGCTTGCACACAGCTGCTAAACCTGTTTGTTTCGGGCATCGAGAGTTGAGGGGAGGCTAGAGTCGGCGACGTTGCGCGCAGCTTGAGTGAGCCTTCTGAGAGGAAGATAGTGTAAACGCGCACATTCCCATTTCCACACATTTCTAGTGGTTTTTCTAGTTAACGGCCCTTTGAGTTGAAATTATTACTATCTTGCTTAGAAGGCGCCGACAGGCTGCCGCCGACTGATCCTTCCTCCCAACTTCCATTGCACTCTTGTTTCGCTACTTTCAGTGTTGAGTTCCGAAAAACGCACCTTGTTGGACAATGAGACGCGGTTGCGCGTCTCAGAGATCGCGCCCGCCAAACTGCCCATGTCCCACGTGGCCAGAAAAGCTAAAACGCGTTGCCGTCAATGTGTTAAATTCACTTTTTAATGTGAAAAGCTATCGCTGATCTCAAGTGGCCTTGAGGTAAACCCAACATGCCATTAATCTCTCCGTTGCTCCACCTTTTCTTGACTATATCCCTATTTGTCTAAAGTTTTCCATGAATCTCCTCATTCCCTATGTCATTATTCTTTTTATTCAAATCACTCCGTTGGCAAATGCAAAGAAAAACAAAAAATAAAACAAAAACAAAATCGGCAATAAGGAGATCAAAACTCACTTGAGATTGGCTAATTCTGCTCGAAGTAACCAGAACAGCTTGTGCCCAATACGGTAGTCACAAAGCGCCTTTTTCAAAAGCAAACATGACAGCGGGCTATATGACCACGCCTCACATTTCAACGCCTTCAAAAATATGTTATTGGGCCTAATATCAGAAATCCGCACTGTTAGAAATGAATGACCTACTTGGATGAATGGAAGAATAAACAATGGAAATGCTTGTTATGTCTAGCATCACATCTCAACTGTGCAACCGGCAAAACGTCGAATGATTGGATCCATGCACCTAAAGAAGATTTCACATATCTTTTCAATTCTATTTTCAGCATTTAACCAGCCCAAAATTTGTAAAATATTAAAAAACTGCTTGCTCATGCTTACGCTTCGTAACCTATTGGCAAAGACCCAAACTTTGGTTAGCATGTAGACATCAAGCAAAAGAAGAAGAACAAGGTCAGGGGGATTTTAATGAAAGCCACTCGAGTCCGACGGCCATTACATCATATACAACACAAGGGGAAAAATTTGTTCCACCACTGCACCAAAATTGGAGCCCTCCCCGCTGAGGGTGGTATTGAGGTGCGAGAGATAGAATGAACTGCACTAGAAGGAAGAAAAGAAAGGGGAAGAAAAAGTGATCAATTGAAACAACACTTCAAATACATTGATGAAATAACTCACTTTTTACTAAGAATACAAAACGCTGTTCCTACGGTAAGAGGACCCCATTTCTCGAGCATCACATACAGTTCAGTAAAATGTTCCCGTTTCCTCCACGTCACTTCCGCTTCCGCAATCACGAGAAGAGCATCTGGTAAATGCTCACTCACATAGTGCCTATAAAAAAATTCATCGCGGTTGAAACAAAGCAGACTGCGGTTAATCTTGAAAGAATTTTAATGAAAAAAATAGAAGGAATAATGTTTGGCATGATTGGTAATTCTCAGAAAGACATGTGAATACTCGTATTACCTACAAGAAAGTGTGGCTATATTCCCGGACGAGTCTGGAATCGGTAAATCAACCAAACCCCTAAGAGCAAGGCTCAGCCACCTGATTAGGAGTTGATCCCAGAGCCATGCGCGGATAGCAATGTATATGCGTGACAACGATAAAAAAACAAAACTTTCATGTAAATCAACATTTTTCGGATAAGCCATGCATTTTATCTCCATTCGGATTCGTGCGGCATTCAGGGTTACATGACCTACGCCATGTTAGCTGATGTAAAAGTCAGACTGTATATGCTTTCAGAGAAAGTCTGGTGCCAATTACAAGGGGTGGAAAGCTAGCATGACCTGGACGGTGTACCTTACTTGGCCGGATCCCAAGACAACGGGCGTGGTATGCGGCACCGTCTGCCAATACGTCACTCCGCGTCCTATCTAAAACCCTTTGAAAAATCCTGTGCACACCCTCACATCCTGACGACACAACTCAGACTCCGCAATGCTTTTCAGATGATTCTTAGCATTAGCACTATGACTGAATCTATTTTGGCTTGCCTTAATTTTCGAGGTGTGGTTCGCAAGAACAGAAAGCGACTTTTTCACTTTTGGCACGAAAAATTTTTTTCGCAGAGAGAACCGAAGGTCCACCACTGATCAAGAGTGGAGCGGTTCTCGAAAAAAAAGAAG